TTAGCTCAGTGATAGAGCACTTGCCTAGCATGTGTGAGGCACTAGGTTCGATTCTCAGCACCACATGCAAATAAATAAATAAAGGTCCATCAACAACTAAAAAAGATTTAAAAATTAAAAAAAAAAAAAAAAAAAACAAGATTCCAGTAGATCAGGTTTTCTTTGTAAGAAAGGACTATTTTTTATTTGTTTGTTTTATTTCTAAGTCTTTGCAGTTCGGCAAAATTCAATAAAATTAACATACCAATTACAAATTGCCATTAATGTTTCTAAATGATAATTTTCACTTTTCCTAATTTGTCACTGACAGGTAGTCAGTGGTCTGTGGATCATACTTTGAAAAACACTTTTTTAGAACGTTAATGCTTGTGTCCCAGTGAAAATTACTCGTTTAATGCAGTGTTTTTAAAAACAGGTATGCATCTTCTATTGATGATATTTTGGAAGATGAAGAACATTATGCAGATCAGTTAAAGGAGTACCTTTTTTATGCAGAAGCACTACGGTGAGTAATTAATGAAAGTTCCAGATGCAGTCCTGTGATTGATCCTCACACTCTCATTGTGTTTGTGTAGAATACAGATAGTAAGGTGCTTTTTAAATGAATTAATTTGGACTGGGGCTGTAGGTCAGTGGTGGAATGCTTGCCTGTCACGTGTGAGGCATGGTGTTTGATCCTCAGCACCACATAAAAAGAAAGGTATTGTRTCCATCTACAATTAAAATAAATAAATAAATGAATAAATTCATTCCCTCAGATAGTGAATGAGTTCTTATTGTATTTTCTGTGTTGCAGAATGCTAGGTGTAAAATTATAAGAGAAGGCCTGACCTTGAAACAGCGTAGTGATAAAACCTGCCAGTCTCAGGCATGTTCATCTAGGTATTTGTTTTTTCTACTTTCTCCAATTTGAAGATTGGGAGCAAAATACAGATGGAGTATTGTGTGGCACTGTCACTGGGTTGTATATTGCCATTTTTATTCTGCATTTTTTTCTCATACTTGTATCCCTTAGCTTAGTAGCTTTTAAAACTTTTTAATATCAAGGACATTGCTTCTGTTTTTATGGTATTTTTTAAAAATATTTTTTAGTTGTAGTTGACACAATAACCTTTATTTTATTTGTTTGTTTGTTTGTTTGTTTATGGTGTTGAGGATTGAACCAGGGCCTCGAACATGCCAGGCGGGTGCTCTACTGCTGAGCCACAACCCCAGCTCATGTTTTTATGGTATTTTCTTTGGAACCAACAGAATTCTCTTCTAGATAATCCTATTTGATTTTTTTTTAATTACTGTATTTTTTTTTCTATTCAGTTTAGGGAAATTAATCATTTTTCTGGAAGAGGTGACTTTTGATCAGTTTCCCTATTGCAAAAAAGCAATATAAGAATTCTGTTAGGAAAACAAAAAAGTAGTATAACTGTTAAGTAATTGGTGTTTAAAACACTTGCACATTGTTAGCTTTTTTCCTTTAATGATTTCAGTAGCAGTCAGTTTCACCAAAGTATCTTCAAATCACCAAGGAAAAGAAAGTTGCTGAATACAGTGGATTCTGTGCAGTTCCTAAATATAATGATTAATGTATATTGACATGGCATATATAAGTGAGAAAAGTTGTAGAAACATTTGGAATGTGTGAACTTTGTAAATGCCTATCTAAATTCTAGAAGGAAGCCAGGCATGATGGCGCACCCCTATAATCCCAGCAGCTCAAGAGGCTGAGGCAGGAGGATCTCAAGTTCTAAGCCAGCCTCAGCAATTTAGWGAGACCCTCCGCAACTCAGCGAGACCCCATCTCTAAATAAAATACAAAAAAGGGCTGGGGGTGTGACTCAGTGGTTAATCACCTGTGGGTTTAATCCCTGGTACCAAAAAAAAGAAATTCTAGAAGGCTGTACATGAGTTGTGCCTGGATAGTAGGAGTGGGTGAAAAAGGATTCTTGACATTTTGRTGTTGTTCATTTCTGTATTAGAATCCCTTTCTCTCTCACTCTCTCTCTTCCTCTAGTAAATGTCAGAACTAGTAAGGAATTGTGAATGCTTCCCTGTACTCCTAAAAAAAAAAATTTCTTAACATGTTAAAGGAGAAGCCAGAAAAAGTTAAATGGCAGCACTATTTTCATCCCCAGGGCTGTGTGCAGGAAACATGAACTTATGCAGTATGACCTGGAGATGGCTGCCCAGGATCTAGCTTCCAAGAAGCAGCAGTGTGAAGAACTTGCAACTGGGGTGAGTATTTTTCTTTAGGTCTTTGATATTATTGTAGCAAGGCTCATGAGGAATCAGCTACAGTTATAATACACAGTATGCTTGTACCTTTTACAGAATAATTTGTAAGCAACTGTATTAATTATTTAGTTTTCTTGATATAAGAAGATATCAGGCTCCGTGCGGTGGTGCACGCCTGTGATCCCAGCGTCTTGGGAGTCTGAGACAGGAGGATTACAAGTTCAAAGCCAATCTCTGTAAGGTGAGGCACTAAGCAACTCAGTGAGTTACTTGTCTCTAAATAAAGTTGCCCTGTCTCTAAATAAAGATTCAAAATAGGGATGGGGATGTGGCTCAGTGGCCGAGTGCCCCTGAGTTCGATTCTCTATCAAAAAAAAAAAATAAAATAAAATTACAAAATAGGGGTTAGGGTGTGGCTCTGTAGTCAAGTGCCTGAGTTCAATCCCTGGTACACCCCCCCCCAATAAAAAAAACATGTTCTGTATGATATTATAAGAATTTGTCAGGCCTGGTATGGTGGCACACACCTGTAATCCCAGCAGCTTTTGAGACTGAAGCAGGTGGATCACAAGTTCAAAGCCAACCTCATCAACTTATTGAGGCCCTAAGTATCTCAGCCAGACCCTGTCTCTAAATAAAGTATAAAAAGGGCTGGGGATGTGGTTCAGAGGTAAAGCACCCCTGGATTCAATCCCTGGTACCAAAAAAGAGCAGGGGTGGGGGGATTGGTCAGGTTTAATTTAATTTGGAAAGGTATTTTATAGAAGTTTTATTTTACTTTGAAAAATTTTACCCAATTAGAATCAGTTTATCTCTCCTAACAAGGAGCTTTTTGTGTACTTTATTCTTTAATGCTTACAGTGCATACTTATAAAGAAAATGTTGTATCTTTTTCCTTTTTCTCTCTCTGTGTGTGTGTGTGTGTGTGTGTGTGTGTGTGTGTGTGTGTGTTTTGTTTTTAAACTGGGAATTGAACCCAGGGCACTCTTTCACTAACCTACATCCTCAGCCCTTTTTATTTTTTGTTTTGAGACAGGGTCTCCTTAAGTTGTTAAAGCTGACCTTCAACTTTCAGTCCTCCTGAGTTGCTGGGATTACAGATATGTGCCACCACACCTGGCCCAATATCGAATTGCATATACTTAGGTCATTTTTATAATCAGCTCTGTACTGTTCAGCTACTTCACTGAAATACATTAGCTGCTATGAWGAGAGACACATTTTGGAAGTATTTGTGAAGCAATGATAGTGCCACTGTTTTCTCATTCACTTCATGGTTAACTAGTACTTGAGTGGTTTTTTTTTAATATTTATTTTTTAGGAGAACACAATATCTTTATTTTGTTTCTATGTGGTGCTGAGAATCAAACCCAGTGCCCCATGCATGTTGGGCAAGCGCACTACCACTTGAGCCACATCCCCAGCCCCTAGTACTTTAGTTTTAAAAGTGGTTTTCACATAGATTATTCACTTGCTACATCTATGAAAAGTAATACATATGTGTAGGAAAAGATCTCTGACCATAAGCCATTAGATTAGGTCTTTGATTTATTCCTGAACTCATAGGAAGTCCCAAGACATTTTCAGTAAGCATGGTTCTCTGTTACTTCATGTAACGGGAAGTGCTTTCATTAACAAACTCCAGTGAGTAAGGAAATAATAAAACAGCAAAGCTTAAGGTTGCCCTGTAATGCTTGGGTTTAGGCATCTTGTTCTAGTAATAGATTCTTAAGTTTCAGGGTGAGATATGCAGATTTTAAATACATTCTTTAGTTTGGTTTATTTCCATAGTTGCTTGTTGAATTTTATCTGTTTTRTTGTTGTTTGTTTTGTTTTATTTTTGTCAGAGTAATCTTTTATTTTCTGTGGTACTGGGGATGGAACCCAGGATCTGTGCATGCTAGGCACTTTACCACTGAGTATCCCTTTTTAATTTTATTTTTTCTTTTGAGAGGGTTTTGCCAAGTCTCAGGCTGACCTTGAACTTGGAATCCTCTTGCCTCAGCCTCCTAAGTAGCTGGAATTACAGATCTGTGCCACTAATTTCCTCCTTTTTGACATTTCTTTATTATTCCAGTATTAGAAATCATATTAGGAGTCCTGTGGTTATAAAGATTATGGTGCTTCTATYGAATGTAGTAGGGAGAAATGGCCAATATTTTTTATTTCTGAGAGTGGAGAGCTATGAAATATACATAACATAAAATTTACCATTTTTATATGCATTTTTAGTTGTAGATAGACACAATTCCTTTATTTTATTTATTTTTATGTGGTGCTAAGGATCAAACCCAGTGCCTCATACATGCTAGGCAAGCGCTCTACCACTGAGCTATAACCACAGCCCCAAGTTTATCATTCTTAACCATTTTTAAAGTGTATAGTTTAGTAGTACTAAATATTTTCGTATTGTTGTGCAAACCCATCTCTAGAGSTCTTTTCATTTTGCAAAACTCTGTTCCCATTAAACAACTCCTCTTCTACTTCTCTGTAATTCCTGGAAACCACATTTGCTTTCTTTGACTATAATTTTGACTACTCTAGATACATCAATTAAGTGGAATTATATAGTATTTGTCTTTTATTTTTTGTAGTTGTGGATGGACATCATGCCTTTATTTTATTTATTTTCATATGCAGTGCTAAGGATTGAACCCAGAGCCTCACACATACTAGGCAAGCACTCTGCCACTGAGCCACAACCCCAGCCCCRTAGTATTTGTCTTTGACTGGCATATTTCACTTAGCATAATGTTCTATAGGCTCATTTGTGTTGTAGCACATGTGATAGTTTCCTTCCTTTTTAAGGCTAAATAATATTCCACCAGGTATATATATCATACTGTCTATTCTTCGGTTTCTATTTTCTTTTAGACYGTGAGGACATTCTCTTTGAAGGGAATGACTACCAAGCTCTTTGGTCAAGAAACTCCAGAGCAAAGAGAAGCCAGAATCAAGGTGTTAGAAGAACAAATAAATGAAGGAGAACAACAGCTAAAGTCTAAAAATTTGGAAGGCAGGTAAAAATTCTGAGAAGTTCAACCTGGACTACCATTGGATTATTTATTTATTTAATAATATTTCCCAGCTTCATTGACCCCTCTGGATTTAGCCTGTTCCTCTAAAATGTAGTCATTACATTTCTAAGAAATTTAAGTTATCAAAAAAATCATGTTATAGAAACATTTATATTAGTGTGGGGGGAAAAGGAAGAAAACATGGGGTTTCAAGTTCATAATATTACTTTTGTAGACTTCCTAATTTCTATTCTTGGCACATTCTCTCTGCCCTCTTGCCCCATTTAGCAAAAAGCCTGATCATCTTCAGTACCCAGCTTAAGGGTTATTTCACTGTGAAGCCTTCCCTTATCTTCTCAGGTGATCTTAGCACTTGATTCCTGACACTGAAGTATGGCAGTTCTGTGTTGGGTGGTTGGTTGTTCTGTGTAGCTCTCCCTGGATAACTTCAAAGTTAAGGACTGTGTCTTACATTTTTTTGTTCTTCAATTCCTTACATAGTGCTTGACATGTAATTAATCTGTAAATATTTCTAGAAATTCCGTTCTCAGGTCTGCTATCACTGTTTAGTTCATTTTCTTTATTGTTTTCATCTGACAGTCAGTAAAATGTACGAAGGCAGACCGAGAGTGTATTATTGGCTTACACCAAATAAGTCAAAGTGAACTTTCATGAATTGAAAAGGAAAGTGCCTATGAGCATTTAAAAATTTTTTTCARACAGGGTCTCACTGTGTTGCCCAAATGGTCATGAACCCCTAGGCCACATAGCTTGGATAGTAGCTGTGTACCTCTGTACCCAGCACTATTTTTATTTTTTGGTACTGGGGATTGAACTTGGGGTGCTTAACTACTGAGCCACACCCCTAGCCCTTTTTATTTACATATCTTTTATTTTATTTTTATGTGGTGCTGAGGATCAAACCCAATGCTTCATGCATGCTAGGTGAGCACTCTACCTTTGAGCCACAACCCCAGCCCCATAGCCCTTTTTATTTTGAGACAGGGTCTCACTCAGTTACCTAAGCTTAGCTAAGTTGCGATGGCTGGCTTTGAACTTGGAATCCTCCTACTTCTGCCCTCCCAAGCCACTGGGATTATAGGCGTGTGACACTGCACCTGGCTGTGCAGTTAGAATTTTTAAAACCCTAGACGTTATTTAAACCATGTACATGCTGAATGTGATTCATAATCCATCTTGTCAAGAGCCTATGTTTGCCAAGCACTGTGGCACACACTTGTAATACCAGTACTTAGGAGGCTGAGCCAGAAAGATTTCAAATTCAAGGCTAGCCTGGGCAACTTATTGAGACCCTGCCTCAAAAATAAAGTATGTGTGGTGGGACTACAGATGGAGCTCAGTGGTAAAGCTCTTGGCTAGCATGCATGAGTATGCCCTAGGTTTAGTCCCTAGTGGAAGAAAAAAAAAGGTGTATTTTTTCCAGTGAACCCAGGAAGGCACTTCATTGTGGCATCTGTAGGACTTGTGAGCTGATTCAGGGAGCCAATCTACATCTGTTTTTTTGTTTTTTGTTTTTTTACACAATACCTTTATTTTGTTTATTTATTTTTATGTGGTGTTGAGGATCAAACCCAGGGCCTCGAGCATGCTAGGCAAGCGCTCTACCACTGAGCCACAAMCCCAGCCCCTACATCTGTTTTAAAGGAATAATTTGTGAACAAAATGTARTTATTAGAATGTAGATGAGTTATATCTTTGACTTTTTCCCTCACTGTAATTTATAGGAAAAGGAAAAATAGAACTGTCTTATACAAGCAATAACTTTGGTTTTGATGTARCCAATTAAAAACCATCTCTGAAGAGAATGGTTAGTTGAATTTATAGTGTACAGTCTATTTATTTTATTATTATTTTTTCCGTGTGGTGCTGGAGATGGAACACAGTGCTTTGTGTATACCAGTTAAGTGCTCTATCACTGAGCTACATCCCATCCCATGTCTATTTAATTTAAATAAGAATACTAATAAYTTTATCTTTTATTTCAGAGAATTTGTGAAAAATGCGTGGACTGATATTGAACGATTCAAAGAACAAAAGAACCGTGACCTAAAGGAGGCCCTCATAAGTTATGCTGTCATGCAGATCAGCATGTGTAAAAAGGTAGGTTTGAGTTCTGCAAAAATAATGGCTAYGTTCACAAGTGCTTACACATTTCTATAAATTCTCTTGTTTGGCCCCCAAAAATATTTTTTTCATTCTTCCTTTCTAAAACTTTTCCTATTTTCTCTACTTAATTTTGAAGAAGGATTGTAATTAAAAAGGTCAGTTATTGTGTTTCCACTTTATAAATAAACTCTCAAATCTATATCCCCCATTTATAACTTGTATCTGAAAATATGTACTGACAGTATAACTTTGATTATATGATGTTCTTGACAGTGCAGTAAAATATCATTCCTAATAATAATATCAAAAGAAAAAAAAGAAGGGATGTTTTCTGTTTTATTCTTTGTTTGGGTACCAGGGATTGAACTCAGAGGCACTCAACCACTGAGCCACATCCCCACCCCTATTTTGTATTTTATTTAGAGACAGGGTCTTGCTGAGTTGCTTAGTGTTTCATTTTTTGCTGAGRCTGGCTTTGAACTCACAATCCTCCTGCCTCAGCTTCCCAAGCCACTGAGATGACAGGTGTGTGCCACTTTGCCTGGCTCATGTTTTATTTCCTTGCCTAAGTAGAATAGATTTTTATATATGAAAATGGATAATGTCCTTTTGTTTAGAATTAAGTGCCACAAGTCAAGATCAACATCAATTTTTCTTGGATAAATATCAGTGTCTGTATTTTATATATTTTACTTGG